CTATTTAGAGAGTGAGGCTGCTACTATATTAATGAATTAAGTACTATAAGTAACGGATTAAGTAATTCATTAGACTTTATATATAAATATATAAATATTACTAAACATACTCTTCGCGTCAAAACTGCGTTTATCGGTTTTTCTCTTCGTATACACGTTGATTTCCTATACATATACGAAATATATATATAAATATTATAAATATGAATATACATAAAAGTATTTAATAATCACACCGTACGACTGCCTCTGACTCGATTTTTCTTTTCCGGCCGTGCTTGTTCAGTCGGCGTTTACGAGCGTTCTTTCGTTTCACCCATTTACATTCGACGACTACGTTATTTTATATATCATAAATAGACATAGACTGTACCACAAAATATTAAGTAAAAATAAATTTGATTAGGTAATATACGACGAACTCATTTACATCCCAGCTCCATCTACAATCCAATCTTTTGATCAGATGGCGAACGTAAAAGTACCGTCATCGATTATTTTAAACGATTGATAAATCCAAGATGGTGCATAACCATTTTCCTCACCTGTAATAGTACTTTCATTCAAGCACATTCTAATTCGGATTTCTCGACTATGTATGTTCATAGACAAGTGGTCAATGCTGCCCTCTGCTGACCACTGCTTACAACTCCTGATACTTCTGACAACGTATAACGATTACTACATGCTACTGCTTGCCTCTGCTTGCTTCCACTGGCCTATGCTGACCTCTGCTGGCTTCTGCTAGTCTGCTGACCACTGTTGACCACTGCTGACAACAGTAGATCACTCCTGACAACTTCAGACGTCATATAAAGCCTGTTCCCGCCTCTGCTGTCCACTGCTAACAACACCAGGGGATTCCTGGCAACTTCTGACACCATATAACGGCCGCTACTGGTCTCTCCTGGCCTCTGCTAGTCTGCTAACCACTGCTGACCACTGCTGACAACAGTAGATGACTCCTGACAACTTCAGCCGACATATAAAGCCTGTTCCCGCCTCTGCTGTCCTCTGCTAACAACACCAGGGGATTCCTGGCAACTTCTGACACCATATAACGGCCGCTACTGGTCTCTCCTGGCCTCTGCTAGTCTGCTAACCACTGTTGACCACTGCTGACAACAGTAGATGACTCCTGACAACTTCAGACGTCATATAAAGCCTGTTCCCGCCTCTGCTGTCCTCTGCTAACAACACCAGGGAATTCCTAACAACTTCTGACACCATATAACGGCCGCTACTGGTCTCTCCTGGCCTCTGCTAGTCTGCTAACCACTGTTGACCACTGCTGATAACAGTAGATGACTCCTGACAACTTCAGACAACATATAAAGCCTGTTACTAGCCTTCACTGTCCTCTGCTACCCCTGTTCACCTCTGCTGACCACTGCTAACAACAGCAGGAGACTCCTGGCAATATCTGACATCATATAACGACCGTCACTGGCCTCTGCTGACCTCTGCTCCTCTTTGCTTGCCACTGCTGGTCTTTGCTAGCCTCTGCTGTCCTCTGTGTCAGAAGTTACCAGGAATCCCCTGGTGTTGTTAGCAGAGGTCAGCAAATTCCAGCAGAGGCTAGCAGAGTCAAATTAGAGGCCAGCAGAAGCAAGCAGAGTGCTGCAGTTGTCAACTCTAACATAAAACAATACTCTCAGCAATTTAATCGAGTTATAAATTGTTTATGTAACCTGCAAAATGCCCAAATCTTTGGAGGAATGGTTTAGAATATCGAATTAGTCTCCTGGTCCATAGTGAGGACCAAATAAATGATGACTCTAATTGTACTCTGTATTATTACTTAAGGAATCAATTTTAAGTGATCTTGTACCTACAGAATATTCAAATGATCATATTAAGTTTACTTTAAAAATATATTTATACTCAAGTATTATTTAAGAAAAAGTTTAATCAAGAATGGCCATAAGTTTCCCTTCAAATAAATAAAATATGAAAGAAAAAGAAAATTTTACTTAAATTTTGCTTAAACGTCTCGGTTTGATTTAGGGAGGGGATATCCAAACAATACACTTCTCCATTTTTATCCACCTTTATTTAATCGTAGCACATACTATTTCAAAGAGTCATAAGTACGATAAGTGTAGATAAAAAAGTACAAATATTTACAAAATACTGTAAAAAAGAAATGGATTACAAAACGTCTAGGGATATGAAAACGTCGTTATTTTTCATTTAAAAAATGGATCTTGCGTTCGCTGCTCGCTTACACTTTTTTTTTTCTCCCACCGTGTATGACTAGACACATTAGGCATAATAATAGGTCGCTTCGTTAAAAATCACCGGTGCAGCGTTTCTTTTCTCTTTCTCTCACTCTCTCTCTCTCTCCCTTTCTCTCTCTGTCGGTGTTTGGCCGCGTCGACCCCCTCGTCTTGCCATCCGATTACGCGAAGCGGGCGGTTAAAGAGCGAGCACGAGCGCCATCTTACGCGGGAAACTCGAGTCCAAACTTCTCCAGCCGACCGCCATGATGGAACACGCGTTTCCTCGTGGCAAGCCGGCGGGTCGACGGTCGCAGCCCATGGAAAATGACGATCAGCGAATGATATGAGCGCGGTTGGACTCGTCGAGACTCGAAATCGATTACGGCCTTAACGTTTACGAAGTACGAGCAAAAGTTGCTGGAAAAATGTATGCTCCTCACATACTTTACATTACAAGAATATCTTCTTGGGCGTATATACTGCGAACATTTAGGAAGCATCTGAAAGAATCCAGACCCAGCCGGCTTACAAAAGCCCTCCAGCCAATCGTCGATCCTCCATCAACGTTACAAAATTGCACGGATAAGTTTCCATCTACGATTTAACCTCTAATTTGTCGGTAATGGAACAAGAGTCGTTTGCTTTTTAACAATTCGAAATTTGGATCGACGAGGAGGTTCGAGGGGTCTTTAGCGATCAATATTAATTGTAGCATCGATCCCTCCGCCTTCGGTGCGACGAGGTTGCATTAAATTAGGGGAATGGTCGTATTCGCTATGATTATGAACCTTTAACGTTACAGAGATTACTCATTGACAGTGTTTACCTTAGTGTCTCGTACATCTAGATGCGTATATGATACATTATATATTTTATGTGCGCGATACGTATGCAGAGGCGAGCTCAGCATGTTTCAAATATCCATCGATCTTTAACGATAGTAATCGTTAGCAATAAATCCCTCGATAATTCGTATAAATAAGTCTTGTATAAGTTCATATGTCACCGTTAAAAAAACAATTCGTGTAAACGTTTCTTTTCAAATGTATACAAAGGGGAATAAACCCGTTAAATAAAGAATTACTATTAATATATCTGTTCCACTATCCTGTACTCAGATTTCTTATGCAAAGAGCAATATGCAAAGAGCAAGAAGGGCCTAACTGCATGGCTAACAAGAAATATCACTTGTCGAGTTTGATGAAACTTTCCTCACATTTAAAGTTGAATAAATACTCCATTTTTGTCCAAGATTGAAGCTACAAAAATTATAATTGTGGCATTACCTCCCATGCTCGCCGCCAGAGGGGTCAGTCGAGCGCTTGTGAGAACGCAATCCCTCTGGTGGCGAGCATGGGAGGCGCATAATAATGCAATACAAAGCAAACCTTTGAGAAATTACAGCAGACAAATAACTAACAATTTCGTAATTAATATTCCTCGTATAGAGCGATTTTTCATTACAAAAATTCGCCAATACAAAAACAAGGACTCCATTATTAAATATTACAATTTAATAAAAAATAAAGGTGTCCATAGAATCTGACAAATAAATACATAAAATATTATATTTTCAACTTTTAAAGAGTGTTTTCACCTCCTAAACAAAATGGACGACAACTGAAAAGTCCCTGTGGAGTATTTTAAACGACCTGCCTGACAAGTTTCATCAAGATGAATTCGACACTTGGTGACGTTTCTCAAAAACTCCTCAGACTCCGTTGCTTCGACTTTGATCGCGAGGAATAAATTCCCCCTGGTTGCTTAAGAGGTAATCAAAATAAAAATGAAACTACTTTGTTGTACGCATCTCCTGGGAATCCCCCTAAATGAGACTTTCGAAAAGCGAAACTATTTAGCCCGTGGTGCTCGTGGAAAGAAACGAGAAACAACGAGAACGATCGTGATCCCTCGTAAGTGCAATGAAAAATGAAACCTCGCGATTGTACTTAACGAACAAACTTACAGTTATATACCCTCGGTATGTACAAGGCCGTTTGCTTAATCCTCTTCGAATCGTTTTCTTCTCCCTCTGTTACGTACACCGGGTGACCCAAATGCATCGAGACCCTTCACACAGGATCAAATATTTCCTAATCTCTTAAGTTCATAAACTGAAGTTATTAAGTCACTGGAAAGTTATTGAGATTTAAGAAACTGAGATTTGACTGTGCAAATAAAGATTAAAATAATCATCTGGTATCATGAAGAGTACCGATTAGATGGTTCACCCTGTTAGTACGTGCATATACAGAGGCTCCCGGATAACTGTCGTCTGACTTAGGTCCAGGGACGCTCTGTATATTATATACATATTCATATATAAGTGTACGCTATAAATAATCCTTAAGCATTAGACCTTAACGGAATACAACGAGTGTAGACGTGAATTAGGCGGATATAAAAATCGTCGTTCAACGTTGATATGGTCGTGATACTTTCTTAATGCATTCACACTGTAGCCTTGCGATCTCGGCCGGTGTAACCGGCGATAGCGTAATTAACTTACGAGTATTCGATGTGCGGTGATCGGTATACCTATGTCGTTACACTGATACTGATTACTAAATATTGCGTTAGTCGTATAATATTGTAGCGTTGTACGGGACCGTACGGTATACTTATTTAACCCGACGTTAGCAGTCATTGGAGCGGATCCTTCTGTTACAAATAAATTATATAATCCTTAACGGCCTAATGGACGCGACGGAATACCGCGACACGAGCGAACCGGGTCCCCTCCCACGCTCGGTACCCGGTTAACTGTTACCCCTGCTTCGGTATCCCCCGATTTAGAGCCTCGTGGCGTCGTCTAGCAGCCTAGAGGCAACTGTCGACGACAATTTCACCTATTTTCGCGACGATCTCGTCGAAGGTCGGTCTCTCCCTCGGATCGTTGGCCCAGCATTGATTCTGCAGCTCCTGCAACGCGGGAGGCGCGGCTTTGTGCGGTTTCCACGCGAGCGTGCGCGACTTGAGCGCCACCAGCACCGACTCGTCGTTCATCTTGTTGAACGGTAGCTCCCCCTGGTGGAACATCTCCCAGACGAGGCAGGCGAACGAGTAGACGTCGCTCTTGGTCGAGTACTCGTCCTCGTATACCACTTCGTAGGGCAGCCATCTCAGGGGGATCACCTGGTTCCGGTGTTTGGTGTACTCCTGCTGGTAGGGCTCTTTGGTCATGCACGGCATAGAGATCTTGATCGTCAGGTTGCTGGCGATCAGGCAGTTCCTGGCGGCTATGTCCTCGTGCACCAGGCGGTTGTCGGCGATGTGCTTGAGTCCCTTCGCCGCTTGGTTGGACAATGAAAGGATCTGAGCGACGGAGAGCTGAGGGGCTCGCGCTGGCTTCGATTCGTGGGTGGGGCTGGGATTGTTGTCCTTCCGCGAGGCGATCAGGAACTGCTTCAGGTCGCCCCAGTCGGTGTACTCGAGAATCATGTGGTCCATCTCTTCCTCGCGGCTCAGACCGATCAGCTTCACGACGTTCTCGTGGTTCAGCTTGCGCAGCAGGTCCAGGTGGCGCCTGAACTCCTGCAGGGCCGCCTCGCCGGTGTTCAGCAGGCTCTTCACCATCACCAGGGACTCCTTGTCACCATCCGCTTGATATTTAGCCGCATAGATCTCACCAAACTCTCCTCGACCCAGAGGCTTCAGATCTTTCAGGTTCCCGCGAGATACCACTAGCTTGTCGTAGTAAGACTTGGACTTTATAGACTGGTTGCTGCTGAGACTAGTGTCTGCTCCGTCGCTCTTGTTGTGGGAGTCACGGTTCTCCTTCTTCTTGCCTGTGGAGTTCATCTTGCTGTTTGCTGTGGTCTCCTTTAACTCTGTTTGTTCCTCCTGGACCTCACCGTTCTCCAGTTTCTCTACAGAAAAGATTGGGGAGTTAGTTTTATGATGATACATGATTAGGATGAATTTGGATTACCATCTGCCTGTTCTTGAAGGTATTGCTGCTTCCTGCGACGACGCCTGTAGCGACAGTAGAGCATGAGACCGACAACTAGGACCATGTAGGCTGCTGCAGCGCTGAGAGTGATCATGACAGTCTTGGTCATCATGGATCCATCGTCCCCTTCCTCGAGGTCCATGTCGAACCTGTAGGTGTCTCCAGCTGGAAATGTAGTTCGACTCGTTACTCCAGGTGATTGAGAAGAGTTTGAAGATGAAAGAGGGTGGAGGATAGTTACGTTTGACGTTGAGTTGGACCTCTTCGCGTTTGAGACCTCCACTGTTGCCCGCCATGCAACCGTACTTGCCCTCGTCGCTCAAGTACACTTCAGTTATGTACAGGCTCCCGTTGCTCAGCACCTCGAACCTGGAATTGTTCAGGTTGCTCATGCGGAGGTCCTTGTCCCACTGGATGGTCGGCTTGGGGTCGCCTTCAGCGGCACAGTGCAGCATCACTGGGTAGCCCTCTATGGCCTCCGTGGGATTCTGAGGCTGGACGGTGAACTTTGGTGCAACTGTGGATGAATGATGATACTGTTAATTGTTGGAATGATGTTTGGAGGACTGGATTAGGTCTAGACAGTGAACTTGTGGATGAAGAACATTGTTAAATGATGGAATAGATGTTTGGAGGTTAGAGGATGATGAGGTTAGGTCTGGACAGTGAACTGTGGCGCCACCTCCCGTACTCGCCGCTAGAGGGCCACGCTCTTGACTCTCTCGCAAACGATCTAACGACCCCTCAGTTGCTATATATACACTCCTTGACTCTATATCCTAAAACGCCTCACAGATGGATCTACCTACATAATTTCTTGCAACCTAGCAAAGTAGCGCCACAGTTTGATGGACGAAGGGTATTGTTAAATGTTGGAATTATGTCTAGAGGATAGAGTTTGGGTGAGGTGTAGGTTTACTTACTGATTACGTCGATGTTGATGGTGTGGTTGATCGATCCCTGGGTGTTGCTGGCTATACAGGTGTAGCGACCCTTGTCCCCCTCGAGCACTCCATTGAAGTGAAGGGTCCCATTGATATCTTGCACGTGCTTTGGGAATTCCTCCCCGACGCCCTCCTTGATCCACTTCACCATGGGATTGGTGGCGCCCTGAGACTTGCAGGGCACTTTGGACGTCGAGCCAAGCTCCAGCCGCTTGTCCACCGGCTCCGGGGAGAACTTGAGCTTCTCCTCGACGGCCAGGTTGGCCGGCTCCGAGAGCACAGAGGGGAAGCCCTTGGTAAATACCTCGCACACGTAGGCGCCCTTGTCCGACAGGTCGGAGCTCCTCAAGTACAGGGTCACGTTGCCGTGGTGATCGGATACATTGTGTCTGCTGGGTCCACCGGTCTCTTTCAGAGGCTCCCCGTCCTTCAGCCAACGTACCTGGGTCACCGGTGGATCCATGCCGGAGTACGAGCATGTCATCGTCACGGAGTCGCCTTTCATCACGCTCTGGCTCTCCGGCGAGCTTATCAGTGTTGGCGGAGCTGAAATCACACACGGAGATCGATAGTTAATTAGGGGAATTGAGGGAGAGCTTGACCACCCCACAAGGACGCCTAGCCTCCGCTACTTTGAATGGACCCCTTTTTATATTCGTCAGGAGTTAAATTTGGACATGATTAATTTTAGGAACCGTTTCAAAAATTCGATACATTGAATCGCTACATAGTATACATATGTTCTCCAACGCATGCGCGGGCGTATATATATTATACATAAAAAAATTATTGATTTTAAATACCCGGTGTAGCCGTCTGTCTGATAAATGGCTACAGCAAATAGTCTGTTATTAACAATGCAAGCACCATGAGGTATTAAAACATTGTAAATTTATTTATGTTTTTACCCATTTGTGAATAATGTTCTGCAAAATTTAATTGTTAATGATATTGCTTTGACTTTGTTTGAACCATAAGTCGATGGAACTCACTGGAAATAAGCACTTGGGCGGATATATCGGTCTCTCCAGCCATATTCTCAGCTACACAGGTATAATTGCCATCGTCCTCGCCCATGCGAGCCTTGGCGACGATAAGGGTATTATCCTGCACGCGCACCGGCCCGGAATCACTTATAATGTGTCCCTTGGGATCTTTCCAGTAAACCTTGGGTGCTGGCAGCCCGGAGGGTTCCAAGCAGCTGACCTGGAGCTCCTGGTCTTCCCCGACCACCGCCACTTGGTTCGGCAATAGGGGCTCGAACGACGCCGCAGAGAGGTTCATTAAGTCTGGAAACATACAATTCGCCGTTTGTCATGGAGCTACTTCGGGGAAAATGCGTTTCAGGAACCTGGGGACTCGCCTTTCAAGCGAAACTTGATACTCAAATTAAGGAACAAGTGGCTAAGTTTCTGATCCTTATGGAATCTCTAAATGAGAAATTAACAAGGTCCATTCTTTTTATTACAAAAATGCAATAGGCAAAGATGAGTAAAAGATGTTTGAATTTGAAACAGTTTTTTATGGAATTTTGCACACCCAAAGGGGGGCCATTAGACACATCACTAGTGGTCACTAATGGCAAAGACCATTGGGCACTCCACAATAAAATAATGGCCATTAATGGCACAGACCATTAGATAATCCAAAATGTCAAATTGTACCATGCAAAGCTTCCACAATTCCTAATTCTAGATTAATTTAATTGAGCCAATTGACCACTGCCCACTGCCCACTGACCATTGGCCAGTGACCATTGACCACTGACCATAGACCATAGGCCCTAAACCCTAGACCCTAGACCCTAGACCCTAGACCATAGACCATAGACCATTGGCCATTGACCATTGACCATTGACTACTGACCACTGCCCACTGACCACTGACCACTAACCATAGACCATAGACCATAGACCATTGGCTGACGACCACTGACCACTGACCATTGACCACTCTGTGGACGAAATTGAATGTACTCACATGCAATTTGAAGCTCGACGGTGTAAGCAACGAAGGTGTCCCCTCTCTCAGCGCGACAGGAGTAGAATCCTTGGTCGTTGTGGTCGACGGAGCGTATGACCAGAGTGCCATTCTCGTGTACGGTGCTCTCGTCGTCCGTTTCCAGGGGGCCCAGGTCCTTGAAGTACCACTGGACAGAGACTGCGTCCTCGAAAACGCAATCGAGGACCGCCGGTTCGCCGCGCTTCACGATCAGATTCCTCGGTACGATGCTCCTCGTCGCCGTGTCGTTCTCCGACACGATTAGAGGGTAGCTTTCCATTTTCGGCGACGATCCGGCCTTGTTCTTCGCCAAACAGCTGTACATCCCGCTGTCCTCGAGAACGGCTCTGTGGACGTGCAGGTTCTTCTTCTTGATCTCGAGTCTCTCCGTCCTCGCCACTGGCTTGCGGTTTCTAAAACGATTTTATCGACGTTAGGCGAGTCCCTCCCCCTCGATTTCAGTCGCGTGGATCACTGGGGGGGGGGTTAGGTCTGGGTTAGTCAATCATTTTTTAACCACATCTATTGCAGGATTTATGTTATTCAATTTTTTATGGATACTTTAATCTGTCAAGTGGCTATGAAGGGGTGCAAAATCACCCTCTATTGGATTTTAAAATTCTAGTCCACTTTTGTTCAATTTTATTATTTTTCCTGTTGCTTGCATGTAGTGGAAGGGTAATTTTAAAAAGGGGTGGTTTTTCGAAACTTCCACCATTTTTTTTTCGTAACATCTATTGCAAAATTTGTATCGTTCAATTTTTATTGCAAATTTTAATTTGTCAGATGGCTTTGAAGGGGTGAGAACTTATTTTTTATTGAGTTTTAAAATTTCACCCTAGGAGGGTGAGGGTTAAGAAAATCGTAATCCACGCGAGTTAGAGTCCACTTTCGTTTAACAACCCCTAGGAGCCCTCATTCCAGTGCACAGTAATGAATAAATATACTCGATGCTCGATCTCAGAGCGATGCACCCTTCCAGAAACTCTGCTCGAAGTGAACTCGTCGATTATGGTTGCTCGTTTCATACCTGAACGATCTCTACAGTGGAGGGGGTACTATGGAGATCCTACTAAGTATAGCAATTAGACTCGGAGCATTTCAACAAAGCAAAAACAATCAAATCATGTGAACCAAAATTCGTAAAAATAAAAAATAAAATTTTTCAATGGATTTTGAAAAGTGAGGGGATGAAAGCATTTCAATTAAGTAAAAAATAAAATTTATTGATGAATTTTATGAAGGAGGGGGTTGAACTCGAGCATTTCAACTAAATAAAAATTATCAAACCAGTAAATCTAAAATTCATAAAAATAAAAAATAAAATTTTGCAACAAATTTTATAAATTAAGGGGTTGAATTTATTGATGGATTTTATAAAGCAAAGGGGTTGTACTCGACCATTTCAACTAAACAAAAGCACTCAAACTAGTGAATTTAAAATTCGTATTAATAAAAATAAAATTTTATAATGGATTTAATAAAGGAAGGTGTTGAACGTGACAATTTCACCCAAACAAAAATACTGAAGCAAATCTAAAATAAAAAATACAATTTTGCAAAAAATTTTATAAATTAAGGGGTTGAACTTGACCAATTGACCCTTCACAAAAACGCTCACCTAAATCCAAAAATAAACAAAACAAAACTGATTTTATAAGGGATGTCTAGGTCTAAACGCGTCTACGGGGGGTGGAAGGGTGAAAACCAGCGACATGCTCGGAGGGGGGTTGGAGGGCCCAGGGAAAATGTCGCTGGATAATTCAAGGGTAGTTACGTAAACGACGGGTGTCAGTTACGCGACGCGAGGTCGAAGTTAGTTCTGAGTTAGGTTTCAGTGGTGGGGGGCGCGTAACCACCCTACAATTCGCAGATTTCCTCGAAATTATCGGGCCCCCGGGGTTATTCCGTGAGGGTAAATAGCAGGAAGTTATGTTATGCGACGAACTTGAACCACTCGTATTTCATGTCTCCGGAGCCATCGACGTGACATCGAAGTTTAACCTCGTCTCCCACGCGTATCGCGCTGAGCAGCTTCGACTGTTCCAGCTGCACGCTCGACTCGCTGATCCCTGAAACAGAAATTCGCACGGATCGATCAGCCCACCGCGGTTCTTCGCGAATAATTCAGCGGCCTCCCCTCCGCCATCGCTTACTCCGCCGCGTACAAATTTTATTCGATATCGGTTGGGAATACTTTCAGAGGAAGGTCGGGGGAGGGGAATTTCACGGATAAAATTCCATAAAATTCCAGAGCTCGCTTTATTTCACGTCTGGATTCAAGGTTTTGTTTCAACAGTCGCCAAAAAACATTGTTGCCAGGAATTATGTTTTTGAGGGGGGTGGTAATGATACTCGGCGGGTAGTTTATGCACGTTGGGTCAACAGATGTTTGCTCTGGGCTCTAATAACGAGTACATGTGTTATTCCGATCCCATAACAGGAGCCACAATGGCGCGGATCTACGCCACACTGGTCCCAGGATAGATGGACCACGAAATGACAGTGACGGATCGCCTTGGTAACCGTGGATAGAATATTAAAGTCCCCAGAAAATAGCAGGCTGGAGAACAAAAAGGAAAAAAAATGGCGGGGGGGTCAAATGGATCGAAAATAAAATTGCAAACAGCATCAAGAAGGAACAAGTGAGATTTTACGTAATAAAAATGAACATACACCAATTTACATTTAATATTTTTAAAATATACGAACAGATAAAGGATGTAGCACAAAAAAAACTCCCAGAAATATAAAAAATAAAGTTATAAATAGCATCGAACAACAAACAAAGATGATTTCACATAACAAAAATGAATTTCAAAAAGTTTGAATTTTTCAGTTTTCCCATGCCAGAAACGACCCCCCAACCATAATTAATAAACCTTCAAGCCTTATTTTGCCCCAGGAACGTCGAAGTACAATGAAGCAACTTGAAAGCGACCAGCGGCGAAAGCGACCAGCGGCGAGATCCGAACCGTAAACAGTCCGTTTCGCGGATCAGCGGGGATCATTTTCGAGAGCAAGGTCGTTCTTCCTGACAAAAACCTAGTCCGCGTAAAGGGCGCCGGGAATCAAGAGCCCTTTCTTCGAAAAAAGGGGGGGGGGGGTCGGGCCCATGAATCCTTAAAACGCGGGCGAAGTTATTTGCCGACGTCTCTCGACAAAGTCTGGGTAAATTAAGAAAAAAGGAAGAATCCCCCCTCGCCCCCCCTGAGCGTTTGTTCCGCGCAAACCGGTGGGGGGGACATCGCCGAAAGACGGTCGTCGTCGTCGGGAGCTCTTTTCTTCCTTTTATTTTCCTCCCGCGAGAGGGATTGTCGTCCTGGACGCGTCCTGTCGCGAAAGCGGAGCAAAAGGGAACGAAGAGGAGAAACAACGAGGGAAAGAAGAGGGGCTGGAGGATGGGCTTTGGGCCGCGATGTTTTATTTGATTCGATTAAATCCGTGGGTTTCGAAGGCTCCGAAGGTCCTCCGGTGGGTTACACTCGCTTCCAGGCCGCCGCTTGATCCTTTCGGGGCAAAAAGGAACCGGAGGAATCGAGCTGACATTCCCAGGGAGCCCCCCCCCCACTTCGTCTTAGTCTTCCGCGACCTGGAATTGCTTTCCCTCCCATTGTCCTGCTGCTCTTTCCACGCCCCCCCCCCTCCCCCAAAAGGAATCTCGACTTTCCTTCGATGACAGGATTTGAGGAGACTCTGGCTCTCGTATTCTCGGCCACGACCTCGTTTCCACTGATTCCATATTCCGTACGCGTCGCCACGACGACCTTCTCGCGGTCTAAATAAAACGCAGAGGCGGGATTGGCGACCCGGAAGCCCCGGACAACCTGTCGACGCAGAGGCCAACGACGGAGTTGATCCTGTGGCAGGAAACATGAGATATCGGGGGGGGAGGCTGACTTGCCAGGGACAGTTTACGCGGAGGCAGTCAGCACGATACGGCTTCGTTCGTTAATTTGACTCGTCACCCTTCGTTACGGGGCCCATCGATCGTTGGGCTGACTTAGGAAACGGAAATGCAATCTCCAGTTTCCGGCGATAGCCGTGAGAGATTGCCCACGACCCGAGTAGTGTCGTTGAAATCACGACTTTTTGTTTTTTGGAAGCACCGAAACACGATTTTTCAAGTTGTTTCAGCCTTGAAACGGGGTGGGTCCTATGGGTCATATTTATTGGGTTTATATTTGGTTTATGTGTATGTAAGTATACTCAGGATGTGAGATTTTATATTTCATTTTTTTTTTTAATTTATTTTACCCTTGAAAAGGGGGTGACTTCTTTTTATTTCAAAAATGCTATAGGCAAAGATGAGTTAAAGATATTTCAGTTTGGAACAGTGTTTTATTGAATTTTACACCCAAAGAGGGACCATTAGTCAGTCTCCAATCAAAATGGTAATTTGGACCATGCAAAGCTCACATAATTCCCAATTTTAGATTAATTTAATTTAGCCAATTGACCACTGACCACTGATGACTGATCACTAACCACTAACCACTAACCCAGACCTAACCACTAACCACTAACCACTAACCCATACCTAACCACTAACCACTAACCCAGACCTAACCACTAACCACTACCCCAGACCTAACCACTAACCACTAACCCAGACCTAACCACTAACCACTAACCACTAACCACTAACCACTAACCCAGACCTATTTAATAACAATTACAAGCAAATAAATTTAAAAAGAATATTTATACCTCATTTGACCATCTCAAATATTAAATTTATTTTCTACTATAAAAAAAACAAATAAATTTTATTTAAAATGATATCTGCCTGATTTGATCCCAGATTTCATATGAAAGAATACCACACATTCCTAACTAATTAATTTAACACATAATTCGATGAACCAAAAACAATCGAATATCGCCAGCGCATTGCCCACGAACAAGCAGCACAAAAATTCAAGAAATTCATCCCGGTAATCTCTTAGTAAGATTACACACGCCTCGAATAACTTAATGTACTCGAGGCTCGAAGTAAAAAAAAAAAAATTGAGACGGTTCAAGCGCATAAAATTCCTCCCGATTTTTATACACGCGCAACATTAACGCCCCCCCTGGAGCCGTCGACTCCATTTCATTACGCAGCTCCATCGATCGAATTCCCCCATTACAAAATTATCCTCCTGGCGAAGGAGGTCCTCCGGAGGAGCGTCGTAAAACCTTAATTTTTACCAGCGAAGAGCGTTTGATTTCCCGTGGAATCGTCCCGAAATTCCGAAAAAAGCGACGAAAGGTGGGGGGGAACGTGGAATTCGCTTTACATGGATGCCTGGTTACCCGTGAAATGGAGACGACTAGTCACCCCGACCGACGTCGTTCCCCAGGTGGCATTATTAACAGCCGACTGAGCACCGGCACAGCCTGTCCAATCCCTTTACTTTTATCCGCGATGATGCTTCCGCCGTCGACGGCTTTTTTATCGCGTCGAAGCCGAGACGGGCGTCGAGAGGCCCCGGAGCTTTTCTACAGTTTCTCGGGGACACGACGACGCCGCGACGCCCACCGCGCGAGACTTCCCTTACGGGCTGATTACTTTGCGAATTAATCTTTCCCGTTAATGCCCGACGGTTTTCACCGTCCGCTTTCTTTTTTGCCCGCGACACGTGATTCTCGCCGGGACGGACCGAATCCCGGTGAAAAACCTAAAACGGAATACTGCAACAACGTTTTCCTAACATGCGATTAAAATTTTTAATGTTAACTATGGAGATTTTATTAGTTTCACGACTTATGGGGGCTCAGGGTGGCGACAGTTCCACTGACTCGCCGATAGAGGGCTACAGTCGACCACCTCTCGCGCAAGAGCTCGAGCGACCTTCGATTCCTATATATGCACTCCTCAAATGACCATTGAGTGGCCATTGGGTGACCATTGAGTGACCATTGAGTGGCCATTGATCGACCATTGAGTCTCCTAAAGCAATTTTAAATTGTCATTTTCGCCCCCTAATCCCCATCCCAAATCGCAACGTTCAAATTAACGATAATAATATCCCCCCAAGCACGAATCTACCAAAGTCTGGGAATAATAATGATCACACAATCGATCGACAGTGAGAGAGAGACAGAAAGCGAGAGAAAAGAAGAAATAAAGGAAAAAAGTTTAAACGTCCTTTGATGTATCTCGATTGCTTCGCACCTATACCGGTGTTCGCGTCGATATTAATTACTAGCAATTAGCGGCGCAGCTACCCGCTATTATGCCCGTAGCCCGGGCGAGCGGAGCGTTTCCCGGCGGCGCGTTAACGTCACAAATTACTCCTTTCAATACCCGGGCATCGAACAACGCCACTGGAACAACGTTCCCGCGGACAAAGCTGTGTCACGCGTCGAGGGAGGAAAAGGAAACAGCTGGCTCGAAAACACACGGGTCCGGGATACCAGTCCAACCAACACCCCCCTTCTCTCACGTTTTGCTCATACTTTCGCCCTTTTTCCCTCGCACGGGAGGGCCAGGTTGCGCGAACGGATTAAAGGGCCGCGTTAAAATGCCCGCGAGAGCTCTCTTTCTCTCTCTCTGCTTCTGCATTGAGTCCATTAAGAAGCATTAATCTCGAGGAGTTATCCTCGAGGAGATATTCGAGGGCTGCGGGACAATAAAGAGCGACAAAGCCGCGGGAAGAAAGACGGAAAAATCACCAGAAGGGTGGTAGGGCGGGGGCGGTGGGGGGAGGTGATGACCGTGAGAGAGCAATGGAAGATGCGAGAGAGGGGTGCGTAAGAAGGGCTCGTTTGTAATCGCGAAACTCACTTTGCGTCTCTGAGGTCTCCGCGAGATTTAGCTTCGGCCTCTCTTTCTCTCTGTCTGTCGGTTTACAGGGTTTCCCCCGTGTCCTCCTCCTCGACGCTCCGGCTCTCTCCACTACTCGGAAAGCCGTGTTTAAATGCACAAACGAAGCGAGAGATCAAAGGCACCGCCGGCAGCGCGCGCGCTAAGTGAGAGGACGAGGAGAAAAGACGAAGAAAAGGAGAGCGGCAGCCAGCGAGCGGAGCTCGTAGAGAGAGGCAGAGTCACGTGGAGCGAGGGAGTCGGGAATAAAGGGAGAGCAAC